TTCTGCGACGCGAGCGCAGGGGGCCACCTGAGCTCCCTGCACTCTCACTGGGTCCGCTGTGGAGTGCGCTCGAAAACGGTTTCCTTCGTCAGCCCTCCGGGGGAGGGGGGCCGTGACAAAGACCATCTTCGGGTGCAGTCCGTCGTGGCGCTGACCAGACCGGCGCCGGCCTGGCCCGCGGCCTAGCCCACGTACGGGTACGAGGGGCAGGGCGACGGGTAGTAGCCGGGGAACGGCGCGGCCGTGGGCTGCACGGGCACGTTGGCGGTGAGGTACGTGGTGAGCAGGGTCGGCACGACGCGCGTCGAGAACAGGGTCGTGTAGGCCGTCTTGGCGCCGAACGTCAGCTTGAGCACCTGGTGGGAACAATCACACACGGGTAAGTTCGCGACAAACGGACGCACAAACATAGCTGGCGCAGGGCGACGCTCACCTTGGACTCGGTCTGGGTGACCATGGTCTGCGTGACGAGCGGGCTGGAGGTCACGTGGTACTGGTTGGCCTGAGGCAGCGGGGGGAAGGCGGGGAAGCCTTGGGGCTGCAGGGCCTGGGGCGGCGGCAGGGCCGTGGAGGTGGCTAGCTCGTACTCGGTGCGCGTCACGGTGGACACGGGCCGCGACAGCGTCGACAGCGACGTCACCAGGCCGTTGAACACCGGGATCACGTGTGACTCGTACAGCGTCTCGACCCTGCAAAGGGTGCACGGGCGTCAGCACGCTGTCGTGTCGGGGTGGACGACGGGCTCGCCACGGCACTTACCTGAACACGGGCTTGGAGGTGGTGATGACCTGCGGGTTGAGCGCGGCCGCGGCCTGAGGGTTGAGGAAGCGGAGCAGGGCTAGCTGCTGCAGCTGCTCGTTGCTGAGCGCGGGGTTGGGGGTGGTGGGCGGCGGCGTCGTGCCGGGGGCCTCGGTGGGGCCCTGGCCGTGGACACCATTCGACGGAGAGCCGTTCTGGAGGGAGGCGGAAAAAAAGAAAGGGAAAATGTCAAACTCTGCCGCGACTGCTCCGACTCGGCGGCGCTGCGCTGGTGCTGGTCCCAATACACCACTAAAGCTGCCCGGGCCCGGACGCCACGCCCGCCAGGCAGCGCTGCCCGGATACTTTTCCGCCAGAGTAAGTTTGAGGGCGGGTGGTCTAACTACCATCAACTTGTGCGCTGCTCTTGCTCCGCCTGATTCGGCCCGGGCCCCGCCGGCTCGAGTGCAGTGCTCACAGCGAGCTGCCCGGGGAATACTTTATCCAACTCACGTGGTGAGCCTTCTTGGGCCGGTGCCGATCCACGTCGGACGGGTCGAACTCCTGGCCGACGTTTGCGAGGCGAGGTCGAGGTCGGGGGCGATCCTGGCCATGACGGCGGCGGGGTTCTCGTCGTCGTCGTTGTCCTCGCCGTTTCCGTCGTCGCCGAAGTCGAGCTCGAGGTGCAGCTCCGAGCCGGCCTCGTCCAGGCGGGTGTTGAGGTCCGTCAGCGTCCTGCTCGGGACGAACTGGTACACCTCCATGGGCGGCAGAGTCTGCGTGGAGATGGAAGGAGAGTTGTGTGACGGTGCCGAGGGGTACATCACTACGATTTTCAGCGTACACTGACTTCAAGTCATTTTGAACTTTTTGACTTTCACATTACTTCTCCCTTACTCTTTTGACTTTCCCTTGACTTTTTTGACTCTTTTGACTTTTTTTGACTTTTTATTTGACTTTTTTGACTTCATTTGACTTTTTTGACTTCATTTGACTTTTTTTGACTTTTTATTTGACTTTTTTGACTTTTTTTACTCTTAATTTGACTTTTTTTGACTTGCATAACACTTTTCAATTACTTTATATACATTTTATTTTTACTTTTTAACAGTGGCGGTTTAAGGGTAGGCAATTTGCGATACAAAACCCCTGTCAGTAGGCAACCCACAGTTCCCCCCCCCCCCCCTGCCAGTTGGACCTTAATGGCTTCGCGTTTTTTGTTTGAACGGTGGCAATGACCACGCCGTTGCTTCGGTTTGGTCGTGGTCGTGGCAAACCCGACTAAAATTGATAGTTTAACTTAAGGTAGTCTTTAGTTTATGTACCTACTAACGGTAGAACCGCGTCGGCGCACGGAACGCTAACTAGACGTCTAGTCATGTTTCGACGGCGAGCTTGATGAACTTGACGAGGACCGGCATTGGTTATTGGTTTGTCATCAAGTCGCGCCGCAGTCGCGCTGTGCGCTGTTCGCAGTTCGTCAGGTTCGCTCAGAGAGCCCCCTGTTCGTCGGGTTTTTCCTTTCTAGGAAACCCCGGCCGGCAGGTGGCGTTAATCCCTCGACCCACCGGGAGGAGAGGGAAAGGGAGGGGGGGGGGATTCGTCTTTCGTCTGCTGCAAACTGTAACTTGTCCGACTAAGATGATTGACGTGGAAAGTGGGTTGAACCTACAGAGGATATATAGCTCTCGTTTCGAGGTTGAAGACTAAGTTATGACGGTTTGTGACCGTGACCACCCTTCAAATCATCTATAGTGTGCCCTAATAAAAGCAATGACTGGTAGCTTATTTCCGAAACAATGAGCTATACTAAAATATGCATATCCAATTTTTCCATTGATTTAATAACTATTCATGGCTTTATTATTTTAGGCGACACGTCTTACTTTTTGAAGCGACAAGTTCAAGTAAGTGTCTCCTTAAGCAGGTCAGATGTATTGCCTTTATTGGAAACAAAATTATGTGTCGCCTAAAAGGGTGTCATGTGTTACCCTTACTGGCAACATATTTCTGTGTCGCTACAAAAAGGTGACATGTGTAGTATTAAAAGCTACAGTGAACCAAGTAGTTTCTGCTTAAACCAAGCAGAGTTACTTGGAAAACAAGCTATTTTAACCGTGAAAGGCCTGACCTTTTTCTTACTTTAAAGTGACTTTTTTGACTTTTCTTGACTTTTTTTGACTTTTTATTTGACTTATTTGACTTTTTTTTGACTTTTTTTGACTTTTTTGACTTTTTATGACTTTTTTTGACTTCTTTTGACTCGTAATTTGACTTTTTGACTTTTTTTTTACTTTTTTAATGACTTTTTTCATCGCGTACACCTACTTTTCGAAGTGATGTACCCCTCGGACGGTGCTCAAGTTGTTAGGGGTTTCAAAGCCTTCAGGTTGAGTCTCACCTTGATGGCCGTGACGAGCCTGGTAACGCTGTAGGTCTGCACGAGAGTGTAGAGGGTGGTGTTCTGAGGGCCGCGCACCACGGGTAGGATGTGGGTCTTGAGGAGCACCTGGGTGGTTGAGAAGGTCTCCGTCTCCGTCAGCAGTGGGGGGGTGGCCTGGTCGGACGCCAGATGGATGGGGGGCAGCGTGTCCAGGGTGGCGGCCTCCAGGGCGAGCCTCTTGTCGTAGGCGGTGGCCGTGGTGGATGCCAGAATGTTCTCCGTCAAGGGCTCGGAAGGCGACAGCGTGGGCTGGATGGCCTCCACCGTGGTGGTCGGCTCCAGGGTGCGTTCGAAGGTGGAGGTGACGGTGATGAAGCGCGTGTTCTTGTTCTGGCCAACCTGGACACACAAACGCACGCCGTCATACACCTCCGCAACCCGCAGGTGCACCTGTCTTGAACCCCACAAGGCGCACGTCGAGCCAGCCTACCTGGAAAGTGTACGGCGAGCGGATGGTGGCGACCTCGTAGTAGGTGTCCCTGAAGTCGGCCGGGGTGGAGATGGAGACCTTGATGGTCTCCTGCTGGGGCTGCGCAGGCTGCGGGTCGACGGCGTCCTCCGCGGCCGCGTCCTGCTCGGGCGCGTCGGGGTCGCTGCTTGCGGCCGGCTCAATGTCACCCTGTCGTAGAAAGAAAACAAAAATTGAGCGTCACATCGCATGGGGATGGGGAGGGCGCGGGACGCTGTGTGGATGCATTCGAAGTGGTCGGGTCCGAATACCCGTGAAATTTGACATGCGCTGCCGGTTAGCTGTGCCGGTGCCGAGTCCCCCCGAGGCCGCGAAGCCGCGAAGGGCAAACCGACTTTGCCGCGCCCCGCCCAGATCGTGATTGGGGGCTTATAGCACGGAAACGGGGTCGTTTATAACGCGTCGACGCGTCGCGTCTCCGCCTGGCCCGGAGGCCGGTGGGCCTCTTCTCTGTGGGGCTGCAGGCAGCCAGGACACGATAACGGCCGACATTCGTTCTCCCGACATCCGCCGTCACTGCCATCCCCGCCGATGCGAAGATATCCTGCGCCCAAGGAGCTATATTCAATTAAGACCCACGCTCGGCGCGGCGCACGCTTCGCCAAGCGTGAGAGGGCGAGAGGGGAGGCGGGCGGCATGGGGAGGAGTCGCCCCTGCCTCCCCGCTCCCTGCCCCTCACCCTGCTCACGCTTGCAGGAGCGTGCGCTGCGCCGAGCGTGGGTCTTAAATGAATATAGCTAGGGACAGCGGGCCGGCCGAGCAGAGCCATCCTGGAGAGGGCCGCGCCTGCTGCGTGTGCGGCACTCACCTGCTCGGGGTTGACAGCGTTGGGCGAGGACGACGAGCTGGACACGGAGGTGGAGAAGCTGGTACCGATCTCCTGCTGGGGCAGGCTCTGCGGCGCGGGGGTGACGCCGTCGCCGTCCTGGCGGCGGATGTTGATGCGGGGCTTGGGGGTGGTCTTGTACTGCCACCGGCCGTTGGGCCGGCTCAGCTTGAACTTGTACAGGCTGGTGGACGGCGAGGAGCCCTGGGGCAGAGAGGAGCACAGCGTCAGAGAGGGGTGCGCGAGCCGCGAGCAGCACATAATTGACTTATCAACTCCTGACGGTTCAAGTGAGGCTTACTGCCACCCACCCACACACGCACACCCGCACCCAAACGGTCTCCCACACATGGGGTACTTACGACGGCTGCGGCGGCGACCGATTCCGTCTGATCAAAGTGCGCCTCCTGTTCCAGGAAGAGAGAGATACGGGAGTAATGTTAGAGGAGGGCAGCAGGTTAGTGGCGGGCGAGCAGGTCAGTAATAAAGCGCACTATAAAGCGGCACATCGTTAAAAATGTTATTTTCTAATGCTGCTGTTGTGATTATTATCGTTGGAATAGGCCCGCGGAAAAGGCGCGCTCGAGCCCCTGCAATCCCCGCATCACGCACGCATGTACACGCATGAGGACGGATTAGCGGACGGAACAGCGGGCGGAACGCACGGCAAGTTTGTTATCCCGGCCGGGCACGGAAGCAGGATGTATTATTCAGCCCGTTCAGTTCGTTTCGCATTCCCAATAAGCAGCACTCATGCCAGCCTGGCCGCCGGTTTTGGTTTTAACAACCGCAACTGCAAACGCAAGCCTGAGTGGTGGCGCGCCCGCAGGGGGGGGGGG